AAAAAGAAGTAAAAAAAAAAAAAAAAAAAAAAAAAAAAAAAAAGTAACTTAAAGCAGAATTTGCTCTAATAAAGTCTCACGAATACCAAATGATTGTCGACTGGTTGCTGTGCACTTAAGCATAGCATTTAAAGTGCATTTTTCTTAGTTTTGAATAGAGTGGGGAAGGGTTAGACACCTTACAGTTTTTACTGCTTCATTTAAAAACAGTAAACAAAAGTAACAGTAATCTGTTATAGAGATTGATGCTCACTTCCTGTCTTTCTGACATTTTACCAGACTGAAAGTGAGGGAAATTCTCCAACAGAAACACAGACCGAAATAACATTTGTTTAGTACAGAAGGGAAGGTCAGAACCCTTGTAAGATATTTATTGTCATCTGTGCCCCTTTTGCAGATTTTCCCCTCAATTCCAGTCTGGTAAAACTGCTGTCAGCAGGGCAGGAAGTTAGGGTAAATCTTTCTAAGGGATAGCAATAAAAAGACAAGGGTTCTAATCCTTCCCCCACAATAGCCAAAAGTAGAAAAATTAAATACTGTAATACTTCAAATTAGGGCTGTGGAAATTAACGATTCATTTATCGATTAATCGTTAAACTTTTCGATCGATTAAAATAATTTTGATCGCTAATGAAAACACTCACCTCTCTGCCGGCTTCCGGGAGTCCCGTCGGACATCCGGTGACGTCACCGGATTCCTCCCTCCTTCCCCAAGTGGCTCAGTCGGCTAACGAAGGGAAGGGGGAGGAGTTCGGTGACATTGATGTCCGTGACGGCTAATGAAGGGAAGGGGGAGGAGTCCAGTGACATCACCAGACTCCTCCCCCTTCCCTTAGTTAGCCGACGGAGCCACTTGGGCTGGTGAGTTTGCCCAAGAAACTTGTTCTGCACAAGCGCCAGCCAAGGCAATGGCCTATACACATACAGCACAGCAATGAAGTAATAAAATGAACTAGGATCACACTAATCCAGCACGTTATTATTCTAAGTTGCCCCACTCAAGCGGCGGCCATATTGAGTGGGGCAACTCAGAATAACAACGTGCTGGATTAGTGTGATCCTAGTTCATTTTATTACTTCATTGCTGTGCTGTATGTGTATAGGCCAATGTAGTTGGATCTGTCTGTGCGTTATAATTAATCGAAATTAAAATCGATTAAAAACAAATTTCGATTAAATCGAACACGAAAATTTCAAATCAGTAACAGCCCTACTTTAAATGAAAAATGAATTAAAATATGAATATTTGAAACAATAATAATTTAAAAAATTGACACGCTAGATGGAAATATAGCCTGCATCTGCAGTTGACTTCCGTGTTTACTTGCCATTAAATATTGACAGAGTTATGCATGCAATAAAAAAAAACTGATAAGGATCTGCAGGTTAGAATCCTTGAAATGTGTATAGTAAATCTGAATGAAATTTTCCTTTTTTCAATAGAACCAAAAGTTTCACTTTAACAAACATCTGGTCTAACCAGTTTATGT